CAACCCTTTTCTGTGCCAAGAAACTCATTTTTAGCTGCAGAAGGTTTTAAGGACAAATTCTCTCAAGGGACTATTTTCCTTATAACTGATAACATGACAAACAGTGTTTGTTTTAGTCTCTTTGTCTTTGATTTTATTTCCCTGAGGATTCAAAACTATCATGATTTATGATGTACAAAATACACCAGATCCACTTCTTTATCTCAAAATGTTTTGCTAATTACATCTTGGTACTCAGACTGGGTTCAAATTAAATTTTAATGTAACTGGAACAAGTTAGTAATAAAATGTCCCTGTAAAATACAAGATTTGTATAGAAGTTTGTAGTTTATTAATGTTATAGCTGTGCATGCCCTGTGATAGACTGGAGACCTGTGCAGGTTGTACCCCGCCTCTCGCCCAGTGTCAGCTGGGATTGGCTCCAGCCCCCCCACGACCCTCATTAGGATAAGCGGTATAGATAATTGAGGGATGGACAAATGTACTTTACTTTTCATGACTTAAAATTATGTGCAAAACCAAACAGTATTATACATTCTCCTGCCATTTACACATTCTGTTGTTGCCCTTGTCTCGGTCAGCGTAGTTTGCTTAATCCCACTAGTGATAGGGATCAGTTATTATTTTGTCTTGTTCGTTACATGCCTCGCTACTTCATTAAAGTTGTCATACAGACCAGAAATGGCTCCGTTTCCAAGCTTAATGTTTTGTATTCTGCACCACTTTACCTGTCCTGATCTCTCCTGTGTGTTGTTGCAGCATTGAGGTGACTCTGTCCAGTAAGCCTCATGAGGAGGGCACAGAAGGTGATGTGGGTCTTCAGCTAAAAGTCAACTTCAGGGAGAAGGCCGTTCAACGCAATGCCTGCTTGGCTGGAAAGTGGGGTCCTTCTGAAAACACCCTCTCATTTTTTCCTTTTGCATCTGGAGAACCCTTCAAGGTACATTTTTACTCTGACATTTTTGCACCTAGACTTCCAGCAATGACACTCTCATACAGAGCAAATGACAGATGAATCATCTTGAACATTTACTTTGACAGCATTTCAACCAGACACATGTTGAAATGTTATCAATATATTTTTATTGGATTTCCTCCTGTTACCTTCTTGTTGGCTTATGTTTACAGTTATTCTCACCGTGAATCACCCTGCAACACAATCAGCTGTTAAAGCTGTAACTTCAGTTCAGCTGCCACAGTAATAAATTACTGTTTGTCCTTATTTCTCCAGATCTAGAGAGGATACAACTGGTAAAGATGGGTCACCATTATGGTTCTGTTTATCTTCTTGCTCTGGACACAGCACTAACATGCTGCTCTTCAGAAGATGTTTTTATGCTGTAAATATTAAAGATGTCTTGTCTTGTAAACAAAGACCTATTTACATTTAGTGTTTTGTGCCAAACAAACATTTTTAATATTGATTTGGCTAAAAAAAAAAAATCCTGTTTACAATTATGTTTACTAAATAGTTTCATAACTTTTGTTCATGCACTGCTAGATTTTTCAGCCTGGTGCATTGTTGCATGTTTGCCAGTGTGAATGACATACAAACAGAAGAGGGATCCACTTGCTCCATTAGTGCTAAAACTAGCCTAAAACTTCAAAGGGAAGCTTTGAGTTGTGCTAATATATTTGGATGGGACGTCACTGACTAACTTCCCTGTTGCGTTGTGATTTAGGCTGATGGAATGCAGTACATCCATCCATCATCTATGCCGGGGGCTGTACAACTGGACAGGTCCCCAGTCTATCAGAGGGCTGACATGTAGACAAACCACCACACACACACTCACTCCTACAGGCAATTTAGAGTCACCAGTCAATCTAAGCTGCATGTCTTTGGATTGTGGAAGCCAGAGCAGCCGGAGAGAACCCACACAGGCACAGGGAGAACATGCAAACTCCACACAGAAAGGCACCGGGTCGGCTGGGGTTCAAACCTTCTTGACATGACAGCACTATCCACCATGCCACTGTGCCCAGTACAATAAACGTAAAGCATGCAGCTGTACATATAAACACTGACCATTTCCCCCTCTATATTCCCTCTGACTGGTAGATGGAGATTGTTTGTGAGCACCAGCAGTTTCGTATCTTGGTGGATGGACAGCCTCTGTGTGGCTTCACCCACCGGCTCTCCCAGCTCGCTTCCCTCACTGCCTTACGAGTCTTTGGAGATCTACAGCTCACCAAGGTGGCCTAACACCAGCGCCTCATACATTACACAAGGATGTTCTGGGACTGTACATAAACACATACGATTAGAATAGAGCTACTTGCTGAGTGAATAAATTGACCCACAATGGGGATGTTGTGTTTCCAGCCCCAAACAAAATGACACCTTCCTCGTAATCATGTGTTAAGACAAAGTGCCTTCACTAGATTACCTGTTTGGGGACTTGAAGATAATGACTGAATGCGACAGTCTTAAATCAACACAGGAATGTGATTTGAACTGATGTGAATTAAGTTTTAAACAGTGTGGTCTAACCATTAATACCTTCCCTTGATGAACAAATGTACAAACATGATGTGTCACTACAGAAATCAGTTTTTGTGCATTAAAATGAGATTTCAGGTGTCTCTTTCCTTTCTCTGATGTTAACTTTACGTTTATGAGGGCCTGCATGAAAATGAATGTGTCTAAAATGAACTGATTGTCATCCTGTGCCAGACTAAGTACTGTAACTGTAACAAATTAAGTAGCCTACATTAGTGCATGCCAGTAATACACACAGTATATCTCACTTCTATCAGTTTGCCTTCAGATTAAACACAAAAAACAGGAAGGATTATCTTGTGTTATGTTCTATTATTGAATCTTTAACCTTGGTTTTGAAAAGCTACTGGTGCTCATTGGCTTCTGTACTTTTAACCTCTAGCACTTTTAATGTGAAAGATTCATACGGATTTTACTTCACTGCAATAAATAGGTTTGTTGTTGCTTCCTGTTTTCTTCTCATAACTTCTATTTGACACTGTATAGTGTCATACATTACTGAGGCATTGTCCACCTATCCATCATCTACACTGCTTATCCTGAATAGGGTCACGGGGGCTCAAGCCAATCCCAGGTGACACTGGGTGAGAGGTGGAGGACACCCAGGACAGGTCACCAGTTAGTCACAGGGCTGATGCTTAGAGACAAGCAGCCACTCACACTCACTCTTATGAGCAATTTAGAGTCACCAGTCAACCTAAGCTGCACGTCTTTGGACTGTGGGAGGAAGCCGGAGCACCCGGAGAGAACCCCTGCAGACACAGGGAGAACGTGTAAACTCTGCACAGAAAGGCCCTGTGTCAGCTCAGGCTCAAACCTTATGCTGTGAAGTGACAGCGCTAACCACTTGGTGACCATGCCACCCACTAAGATGTTATGCCAGTCATCATTTCCCTAGAACACAGGTCTAAACCAACACTAGCTCAGCTTGAGTCATTCAGATAAGGGCTCGACTCGGCTTGCTCAGTGGGAGCGGCAGTCTGTGTTGGCTGGCAGCGCCTGCAGCTCCCAACCTGAGCTAAAACTCAGTGGCTGTCATAAATTCCTCCTGAGGTCTCTCTTGTCTCTACTTGTACTTCATCTTGATGTCAGATCCTTTACTTTGGTAAACATGCTGCATAGAAACATATAATGTAAACCTGTCTCACAAAATCATCCAAAGTACCTAAAACCAGTAAGGATGATATGAATTCTTTATTATTATGCCACATTTTTCCCCAGTTCTTCCTGGTAGTATTGTAAAAATGTATCCAATGATATAGTTTTTGAGGAAAGAATATGTGGAAAAAACTGGTAGTTTGACCAATGAAATAGAATTAACTTTTTACAAAACCAGGGGAAATGTCTCTCAGAGACATCAGAAAGTCGACAAAAGGCCCAGTCTACACACTGCTTTTATAGTCAGGGGTCATGAGCCACAAAGCTTGGGAGCTACTCATTTAATAAGATATGTATTGCATACACCTATCAAATATTTTGTTTTTAAAGGGTTTATCTGAAAGGTATCTAGCCACTACAACTGTCATAAGTAGCTAAAAACTGACGTAAAGTAAAGTACTTTGCAACACTGGTGTCTGGAGCTGTGTAAAAATTCAACCTGCAGAATATAGATCAAATAATTCTGTTTATTAATAATAATACAAAGTTGTAAAACACATTAAAATCTTTAAAACTGAATGATCACAAATAAAATGCTACAGTTTTGGGGGTTTAAACCTCGTTAAGCAAAGTTCTCCCTGTACAAACTTTAAAACAGAACAATAACACTGAAAATGAGACTTTTTCCATTTATAAGTTCCCTTGTTGGAGATTGGATGAACAGAGATGTCATGTAACCACTTACGTTTTGTTTATATTGCATGTTGCCTTTTGTTTGACACAGTACATTTGTGGAATGTGTAAATTCAGTTTTCTTCATAGCTGGTCAACTGATCTAGCTGACAAGTTAAAACGTTATGTTCTGCCATGAACACGCTGCTCTATGTCTGCTCTTTGATGGCATCTATCCAGCCCATCTTCTCCTGGTGAGTCGGCGCCTGGATGAAGTAACGTGTGTCTGACTGAGTGATGATTTTAAACAGGTTGCCTTGCATGTTGCCTTTCACACCTACAGCACATGAGAGCAGGTGTTAGATGCTGGCACAGTGAGGACAGGCAGGAAGATAAAAACACTCAACAGGAGCAGCTGAAGAAGATATTTTCACTGTGCAAACTAGAAAACATGACTGACAAAGAAGATGCTGGCAAAGAGTGAACGAGTAATAAATGAAAATGGAAATAACAGAGATGATTTGTTGATGTTCCACCAGTCACCTCAGTGTAAAATAACAAAAAAAGACCCACTTCATCAGGAGCACAAAGTACATGTCTGTGATTGTATGAATTAAAACAATAAAGCTGGTGTTATTTTATATAAGCTACAACAATTCTGGGATACCTTCCTAAGACAGTACTTGTCTAGGACAAAATAATGTTTTATTATTTCTGTCAGACAATAAGAAAAATACAGAATATTGACAGATCTATACCACACAGCAGCTTATAATAAACAGTATCTAAAATGCAAAGACTTGAAAATCTCTAAACACTTTATGTCTAAGGAGGCAAAGTTCTCTCCCAGACATAAAGTCAGTAAAGAGGTAAATGAAAACACGTCTCTTCCTGTCCTAACTGTATGTTCATAATTGTAAAAGTCTCTGAGGTCACTGGCGGCTCAGACGGTGACTCACCAGAGGGAACTCCGTTATCTTCCAGAGAGGACACCAAACAGCCTCGCAGGGAGAAGCCGCCAACAGGGCTGATGTCATCCTGAAAAGTGACATAAGGCAGGAAGTGGATCAGGCTGACTCAGGATTGTGGAAGAGACAGATTAGTGAGCATGATGAGTGTTATGAGTCAGGACAGCTACAGTATCTGAGGCATAGGCAAACAAAACAGCTACTTTGATCGGACTAGGACCAGCCCTGTTCAGCTTGATCACCATTTATTTAGGTTATAAAATCTCCTGTCTTTGCTGTGTCCATAAGAAAAATACACTTATGGATTTTCCCTTAGGTTTGATCAGGTAACCGATTTACTTTCTCTAGGTGATTTTAACTGTAGATTTATTTGCCTGGGTTGAACCTTGTTCACTTACCTTAGTGGGATTATAGTAGTGAAGGAAAGCGGGATCTGAACGCAGCACAAACAGTCGCACCTTCCAGTTTTTCCTCCTGTGTCCCTGTGTTTGAACACGTGCCACATATGTTTTAATTATACATCCACTATAAAACAATTCTAAGACATTTATATGATTTTAACTTACAGCTTTATTAATAGTTAGTTACATGTTCTGTTATAAGCCATTAAAAATAACAAATGTTTGGCTGCCAGATCATTAGTAAAGCATTATTAATCCATATAGTCTGCAGCCGTAAATAATCCTCTGCAATCCTACAGACAGTCAAAGGCAATTTTACAACCCGGAAAACCAAAAATTGTTGTTGTTAACAGATTATGAGTGAGATAAAAAGCCATAACAAATAATGCATTAATCATTAAAGCCATTATTATATTGTCATTTCTAAACTGTTAAGTGATCTCTTATCATTTTAAGCATCATTGTGTTTACCTGTTTCAGCAGATATCCTCTCTTTACCACTTTTCCACTCAGCTCCAATGCAGACTGGGACGTCTCTGCCTTCACACTGCCTCTTTTCTTTAAGCTGTCAGACTGTGATGAAACATAAATGTGTTATAAACCAGATACCTGCTCTTTGCCAGCTCAAATTAAAGCTCAGATTAATGGGTTAACACTGAAAATCTATGTAGAATGTAAGTAGGTATTCTGATTGTATTCAGCACGAAGGTGTCAGGGGTCTTTGCACTCAAACTCCATGGGACTTACAAAGCCGTACAGTGCGGTGGAGTCATCCATGAACTGCTCACTGAGCCCGGCGGTGCGGAGGGCCTCCATGCTCTTCAGCCCCACAGTCCGCAGGAAACCCTCCTCCAGCAGGGCGGTTGCCAGTGTCACGGCCTCGGCACGATTCATAGGTACATGTATATTCAGGTGTAAATGTTATCCAGTGGCATCCAATAATAAAATGTTATCTGTCAAATGTCTCCTCTAATCAGGTTAGAGCTCAAACATGGTGAACAATAAAGACCGGATGTTTCAGGCGCTCACCTGAGAAACAGTTTCTGTAGGTGCTGCCCTGCTCCACATGGTTGCTCATCCTGATCCCACTGTGAATATCGTACATGGAGTCCAACACTTTGCTTTAGGAAAGAGATGAAAACAGAGCTTGAGACAATTAGAAAGAGATTTAAATGTAGTCATAAACAGTGGTGAGGCAGTGAAAACACCACAAGGTTTAAGTTGTTGTGAAGTCTGTGGGAGATGCTTGGTTAACAGGGATTACCTGAGGTCAATGTTCTGTAAGCAGGGTCCAGCCTCGCCTTGTTTGTTTGTCATATTCTCATCACCAGCAGTCTGCAGATTGTCGGCCGCTGCGCTGATGTCAGCTGCCCAATCATCTCGCTCCTCCCGAGTACAAGCCTCCAGATAATGATCCACCCCGTTTGCTGACTGGAGCTTAAACACCAGCTAATAAAAAAATGTGTCAGGTGATGTTAAAAACCTCCAATAAATGATGGATGAAAAATATTTTCTACTTTAAAGTTGGCAGATGATGGAGGGCAGAACCTAACAAAACCCGAGGCAACATATTGTGTCATCGAGTGTTATTTCTCTCACTTTGACATGAAAGTTCATTACATCATTTGGCCTTTGTGTTTACCCGCTGATTGCACAAATTCACACACAGAAAGTAAACTGTAAATGTCTGTACTGAAATGTTTCACACAGCAAATATACCACAGGAGGATGTCATTTCAATCCATATACTTTACAAAGGGAATGGAGAAACCATAGGACAAACTTTACTTCAGCTGTGATTACATTTATTATTTCTACAATGTGTGAATGATTCCAAAAGCAGCTTTCTGAAACCTTCTTCTAATCTTATAAAAACCTGTGGTGCTTCTTCTGTTTGTTTGTAGAATAATTCTGTCCAAGAACTCACCGGCCGATTTTCAAACTCCAGAAAAGGACAGGTGTCTGGCATCAACACAAACCAACGCGCCTTCCAGCTGTGTACAACATGACCCTGTAGAAATGAAAAATGATCAAGTTATATTCTCTAAACAAAAGCGCTCGTCATCCCTCACTACTTGCCACACTGGCTCACTGAACTCCACAGCTTGCCTCACTTGCGTTTTTATACACTTCACATAAATCTCTCACCCTTTTCACCAGGAATCCCTCTCTGAGAACCTGAGTTTTCTTGTCTGTGTCCATACTGTTCAGTGTGATCGAGGCAGCTGAACTTTGCCTGTTGCTGCCTGCTCAGGTCTTGAATATAGAAGTTTTTTCTTTTTTTGCCTCTTTACATGTCACCGTGTTCACACCCACAAATACCTTGCTCAACAGTGAGTGGGCTATCCAGTCCTGCAGTTTCTGCACATCTTCACATGAGGGCGCACTGACTCCATCAGCATGGATGTTTTGGTGTGCTCCCCTCACAACAGCTTAATTCTTCATCATTTTCAGAATGTAAAGCCTTTAAACCCCGGAGATGAAGCTGCAGGGAAGATCCTCCAAACAGACGAGAAAGATTTTTTATCCCATTTTGATGGAAAACCAGCAGCTGCTGCACAAGCACAGCCCTCCTCTTCTGCAGCAGCTGTACCCAGTAGGAGGACAGCTGGGTTCAAGTTTCCTGCCAAGTGCACATTTACTTGGTTAATGAGAACGCACACTTTGGCCACCCTGAAAGAAGATTGTTATCAAGACTCCTGCTTCTGCAACCACACGTGACCCTGCTGGGAAAGTTCCTTTCCTTCGTCTCCTTTTCCTGGTTCCTGGTACTCACAAAAGAAAAACACTACAGGAGGAGGATGAGGGGGCAGTGTTTACTTTTGGCAGGATTACTGTAAATGACTGGGGCTTACTGGTCTAACTTTCTTAATGTGAATTAATAATTATTATTTTTATAAATACAGTCACTGTAAGCTACAACTGCAAATATTTGTAAAAATGGTTGCAAGTGCTAAACCTGAAGGGCTTCATAGTGTATAATAGGAGAAGCATAAATCTTACAGTGCTCCCCTTTACAGGACTTCTGTAAACCCTACATTGCCTCAAAAGTGAAAGACCCTGCACATTCAGTGACGGGACAACTCCGCCTGACAACCAGCCAAACAGGTGTCAGGCGAGAATCCCTTAAACACACAGAGGAAACAATAACACCAAACTCTGCTTCTGAGAGCCAAATCAGTGTCAGACAAACTTCTGAGAGCTGAATGTTCAGTCATACTCCAGGTTGAGGTGTGTCTGGAATGCCCCCCTGTGTAACATTAACCATAAATCAAACATTAATTGCGTAAAAAGAAGATGGTGTTTTGGCACGCCAGGATGTGAAGGGCTCTGACGCAGGTCAGCTCACGTGGAGCAACCGGTTGCCCTGGTCACGGGCAAACACTCTGTGGACTCTGTTTTCTTGATCCACAAACTTATTGTTTGCTGGGTGTGTGTTTATGAGTCCACGTCCACAGCTGGTTACACAGAGCATGTCGCTGGTCAGTCTCATTCTTTGTGAGACATTCTGAGACAGGATTCCAATGTGGGATGATAAGCCTGAGAGTTTTCTTCCCAAACTGTACAAAACCACCAGTCAGAATAATCACCGTCTGTTCAGAGACTGATTATTTGTTGGCTAGAGACTCCAAAATCTGCATTTTTTTTCTTGTAGAGAATTAAAGATTGTGCACGTTTCCTGCAAGAAGCACAAGTTTTTAAAAATGTGAACAAATTTAACTGAAATAAAGCTCAACTTTTCAAGTTGCAGCAGCTACTGTGACAAGAAACGGCAACATTTTTCTACAATCAGCAATTTTCTTTAGTCACTGAAGATGAGAGTGAGTTTGCCAATACACAGCAGTGATATTACATCATCTTAGAAAAAACAGGATGTTCTACAAACTCAGGACAAGAAACATCCGGGCAGATTTTTTTGTTGTTTGCTTTGAACCTTCTCACCCAGTGGACTCTTCAATAAAAGTGACATATGAGCCAGTGATTTGTGGTTGTTGACTTAACTTGCAAGGGCTACGGAAAGTGTGCAATATGTACAATCTTAAGTCCTTGGTCTACTTTCGTTTCATGTGTTAGAAACAAGACAGAGTCCCATTTCACTTAAATCCCTTTGTTATTCCGGGTTCTATTAAAGACCAAATGGCATTTTCAGATTAGAGTCATATATTATAACACGCAAATTAACTTCACATTTTCAAACAACACCTTGTTTAAATCACTAAATGTTCAACATTTAAACATTAAATACATAAATAAGAGCATTCATCATAACTGTACAGCTACAGTAGAGGTACATATACTGCGGTGTTGTAAATAACATACATTGCATCCTGTGTAAAATTAAATTAAACCTTTTAGCTAACCTTCTGGGGAATTAAAGAGAAAGTTTGGTGATTTTCTACATGTTTCTTATTGTCAACAAAACAGACCAAAATCGACAGAGAACTGATGCCACTAACAAGTCTGCGTCCAAACGCAGAACACACCACACAGCACCATCCTGCTGCTGGAAACACTTACTAGCTGAACAAATGTGTATTCATCCACGTCTAAAAGTAGTCCCCACAGTTACACTATTTACTCCTGTTCAAGTAATGTTTGCTAAAAACTACAATGTCCAGCTGTTTCATGAAGTTACTCTTTTTTTTTTTATCTAAGTAAATACACTTAAAATTTATCAGTCTGAAAGTACTAAAAAATAAAATAGTGTAGCGTTGCTTTGGTCTTTATATGGGTTTGCTAACATTCAGAATATTACTGAATATCAACAGCCTTATCCTTTATTATGGGTCTTATTTACAGAGTGATAACATGAAGCTTCCAATAAAGTAAGTTTGGTCACGTTCTCTGACTGTAAACTTCGTAACCAGCTGATACAGAGTGACGAGGTTTTCACGAAAAGCTGTGTTGGCATGTGACTGTATAAAGCTAAAATGATATGTGACTGAATTATTGCTGACTAAGCCACAGGTTTTATTGTTTTTAAAGAAAAATCCTTGTTTTGCTACAAAAATACCACAAGGAAATCTTTTCCATCACCTACACTCTGTTTGAAAACCCTATACACCTCATTGCTGAGCACGTGATGCATCTCTGTGGAAAGCTGCTCTCCCAGAACATTCAGAGCACGTTCAGTAGTTTACAGTCCAGTACATCAGTCGACTGTGTGTACAGGACAGTGGCCGGCCGACTGGAAAAGCAAGCAGACACAGGTGGACCTGCAGCATGACAGCATTACGTCTGTAGTGCGTAAAGAGGACGTGAGGAATGTGGTTTATGAAGGGCTCAGTCTATGCCACGCTGCCACCACCTTCTCTGGATGAGCCATTGTGTCCTTCCACTGCTCCACAGCCTCTGGGACGCAGCTATCAAATCCCAGCAGAACCTGTCAGAAAAACTGATGTCAGAGCATGTTTGTGCGTGGATATGAAGACTGAAGCGTAGCATTAAATATGTTTTTTGTACAACTCTCATCTAAGTATAGAAAATCAATTTCACAACCAAATAAAACATGTTCTTGCTCAGTTCAATACACCAAGGGGTTTTGCTGCAGCAGCTTTACTTGGTCTGGTATCAGCAGTATCCTGTGGTAGCTAACCAATGTGCAGAATATTCTACGTCAATTAAGGGAGAGAAAGAGAAAGAGAGGCCCGAGTTTTATTTCTTTAGGAAGATTTTATTATCAAAACGACTCACCTGTCCAAGACACCGTTTCCTCCTGACTGAGCTGCGGCTGTAGAGTTTGACTGACAGCGAACAGGTGTGGTCTAAAGCAGCCAGGGGGAAGTGAAAAGTCTCTGCCCATTGACACTGACCCCCCGAGGCTTTCATAACTCGAGTCTTCTTCTTCATCACCGCCTGATCCAACTGGTGCAGCTCCGCCTTGACAAAAAAAGCTTCAGAGAAGTAGAAAAGGAACCGGTGTTACTAACATCTAACATGAACCAAACAGTTCAGCCCTTTGGCTGTAAGACCTGTGAGATCACTGTGAGACGACACCACCTTGGGTGAGTGGAGAGGAGGATGCTGGGAGGTTTTGGGCAGCGAGGACCTGGAGCTGGATGCGTCCATTGACCGGCTGAAAGCAGGTGGTGACATACAGCTCAGAACGGCACACCTGAAGAAAAAAATCCAGTTACATCTTAATAACGGATTAAAAATTTAAAAGCATATTTGGGATTATGAATGAAATAAAAATCTTTGAAACTTTCATAATTCAAAATATATTTTCCTCCTCTCTCATAATGGATCATGTATCCAGAAAGGTTATATGGTGCATCGCATTTACCAACAGATGTATTGTGTGGAAAACAACAAAACAATTCAGTTTTCAGTATTTCACAAGATTATAAAGGGAAGCAGTCAGCCAGAACCATCTGGACAAAGCAGAGACGAGACACAAATATATTTGTCATTTATTAAACGCTTCTCTTTGACACAAAAGAAGCAGGGCAGTGTTCTCTGAAGAGTCATTTTTGGTCTGGAATCAACAGGCCTCTGTGTGGCCACTGAGGAACAAAGATGTTTCCAACATCAAGTAAATGTTGTCTTCATTCATCATCATGTCTCATCAAACGTGGACTGGCATTGTAGCAGCGACAGGCTTTCAAAGCTCCACAATTGGGCCTTTAATCACGGCCCTCCTTCCAGAACAATCTGTGTGAACTGTCAGGGCGGCTGTGTCAGCTGGAGCTTGACTGTAGGAGCCTCGGACTTATAATACAACGATTTGACCTTTAATTATCATCCAAGAAGATCTTTTATGAATACATGATGTGCATCAGCTTGTCAGGTTTTGTCATCAGACAAGCAGCATGAGGTGTTTGTCTTGGAGTTTATTCTCAGCTCCCCACCAGCCCAGTTATTCTACTGTCTTTAACACCAGAACAAAATGGAGAAAGGTGTCTCTAACACAGGCTAGTGATGTCTAAGTATTACATTTGACTTTTAAAATGGATGTGTTCACCGTAGTGTCTACACGCACTCAGCTCCAACCCCTCTCCCATGACCCTAGTCAGGAATAGATGTACTAGCAATGTGGCTCATGGTCTCTTGGTCTGTCCACCACTTTGGTCCAGGATGAAATATCTCCATGTGTTTTTGATAAATTCCCTCAAAATTTGGTGGCGACAGCTCTGTGCCCCTCAGTGATTTGGTGATCCCCTGACTAGCGTAATCATCTGGTCATATTTTTATTTATGACCAAACACCTGCAAAACTAACTAATCATAACTGTGTGCTAAATATCAAATGTTACACCTGGAAACAGTATAGCTAGTGAAACTCAGCATGTTAGCGCTGCTAGCATTCCTCTAGTCTTCATCTTAGAGTGCCAGCATCACTGCTTCTCTTTAAAATGTCATGGATAGTTTTCTTGTTTGAGACTTCCTAAAGTTCAGCTGTCTTGGCCTTTAAGAGCCTCCACTGAGTGACAGCAATTTGTACAATTTGGGGCTTTTATGTCCAGCACATGGGTGAAATCACTGACTCAATCAACCTGTCCTTCTGAGAACCTAATGAAGATTCACCATCTGGTCCCCTAAGTGCAGAAACCATTTTCATTTCACTGTCACTGGCCAGACATGCATCCATTTATCAACAAAACCACTCTGCTGGTGAAATGGTTTGAGGTCTGACCTACTTTCCAGATTCTGCACTGTGGTTTCTACTCAACATTAACAGCCTGTTTCCCAGTCTTCCCATTTCTTTTTTTGCCTGTAATTATGCAACAAGATAAAGTCAGCCGCAGCATCAAGTTAGGGCCAAGAGTAGGGTACATGCCAATGAGCTATAATGTGTCATAGGGACACTTTTATGAGGCACAGAGGCTTCTTTCATTATTTACTGTGCATATACACATCAGTTATAAAAGACAGCAGCCAACAAAGGAAGTGGTGGAGAATAAGTGTTAAAGGTCCAGAATTTTCCCACACAGTTTTTCCTCTTGGCAACAACAGCTGTGCAGTGGGCGAAAACAATGTCAGGTAACAGCAAAATGGTGCACTGATAATTTAGACTGGTTGACTCGGCAAACATCATTTATTATTTGTGTATTTCTCTATGTATTTTCTTGCTTTTCATTGTCATGTTGCCTTAATGCAGAATTTATTCTTTTTTTTTTTTAAGATCAACTTCCATGATCAGGTCCAACTGAGTTCAGATCATGATCAGAACTGAACAGGGTAAAAAAAAAATCAAGGGCAGAGTAACTTTAGGCTGCTGTGAGTATGAGTCACGCTAGCAGCCTGGTCCGTTAGCTCGTTCATCCCCTTGGTGCTGAAATATCTCACTATTTGATGGATTGCCACAAAATGACTGTGAGCACAAAATGATCCCCTGACTTTCCCCAGAGCCATTATTAGGGTTGACATTTTTGAGTTTTGGTAAAATATCTTAACAAGCAGTGGACTGTCATAAAATCTGGTAAAGTAATAATTGCTGTTCTCCCTGACCTTTCACCAAGTGCATTCATCAGGTCAGGCCTTCAGTTTTCCACTGGTCCTACTACCTACAACCTGCAGAGTCTGTGCTGACTGAAAAGGGTCTTGGCAGGTCGGACACATCTCTAGTTACTGAGTGGTTGTCAAACAGGCTAACATGACCACAGTGGCAAGCTGAATGAAGAAAGTGAAACTAAATGGCATTTCAGTCTGTTTGTCAGTCTAACTTCTAGTTGTTTCTGGTCTTATTGTAAGTAATAACTCATTCATTCCTTGTAAACTTGTAAATGTTCTCCAACTATTTAAAACACCAGTGACAAAAAAACAAACAAAAAAACTTTAGACCAAAAACAGACTTTTGTGCCACAGGCCTGACTCGTAACACACAAAGCGAACACTCACTGAGGACTTGGACGGAAGGTTCAGGTCGAGCCAGTGCTCTGTCTCCTGAGGACCAAGCTGTCGCAGTGAGAGGACGCACTCTGCCACTGTGCGTTTCCTGGGGTTGTGGGTCTGCAGCCGCAGCACCAAGGCGCTACAGCGCAGGTGCAGCAGCTGCAGTGCAAACACAAAGGTCTCCATGAAAGACACATCCTAGGGAGCAGAGGAAGGTTGATATGTGTTTAGACATCAAGAATGCATTTTACATTGAATGTAAACTTAAATTTAACCTCAACAACATTTTGCCTTTGTGCATCAAGATTTTAAATCACGATTTCCTATTACCTGATTGTACTCCTTGATCGAGCTCTTGAACTGTATGGGTTTGGGGATGGTGATGATCCCTTTAAATCCAATCTTTTGCTGCTCTGCTCCGTCAGGAAGAAGGTTGAGGTCTGAACACTGATAAGAAATAGGAAAACAATAGTGTTAGTTGAAGCAGGTCAGTTCTATTTATAGGGACAAACTGCTTTACTGAACAAAAAAGAAGAGGTTCCAAAACCTCCAGTATACTGTATATAGACATACTGTGATACTTTTTAAAATAAACTTTAAAGAATTTAAATACCACTGTGACCAGTCCAATGTTCCTATGCTAAATACAAGTACTACACTAATATGATCTCTGAGGAAAAACAACCCAAACCCAAACCAAGGGTAAAAAACAGAGGTAGCCCTTTGTCATTTTCACTCTTGCTCCTTAGAGAATCTGTGGATGCCCCTAAACAATAATCTTTGCTGTAAGTTCAGTTTTAATGTATACACGTTGTACTGCAGGTGCTGAATGAATTCATGCTTCCTGAGATACATGGATCGCTGCGTTTAAACACTGAAAGGATGAATTGTGCATCTCAGTCTAAATGAGCGCTGAAAGCACGACCAGGACTAAAGAGTTCCCATTTCAGACAGGTTTCTTGATGAGCTCAAGTGAGACTAACAGCAATACAGACAAACAGACATATGAAACAAAGACATTCTTTGAATCTCCTTGCCTCTCCTATCTCCCTATTCCTTCCTTCCCGGTCTTTATAGGTGGTACTATTTTGACTGGAGACATCTAGCTATTCTTGGCGTACGACCAGGACATATGACCACCAGTTGCTGCACATAGAATCAAAATTCTAACCTACAAAACATCACTAACACAGCCCTTGCAAAACAAGCTTTTCCTCCTATGCATCCAAGCCAAAGTTAACAGAACAGAAACCTGTGTTCTGGACACACAGAGGGTCCATTGAGAACAGCACAATGGAGGTTTTTATTTCCCTGTGGTCCCCTCTCCTCTCTGCGTGTAACCCTACCTGAACCAGGGTGATCCACACCTGCTCCAGAGCCTCCTGGTAGCTCAGGCGGACACACACCTTCCCCAGCTCCTCCACAGACAGGGTGACGGATTCTGTAATGATTGAGAATGAGAGGAAGGAGAATGAAACGGACAAATCACAGGATATAACCGAGTTTGAATTACTGCAAAAAGGATGTAGAAGGAAATGTACTTTTTTGCTTTAAATATAAATTCAGTTTTGGATTTAAATGTTTTAACAGTCACCAAATGTGTTTAACTAACCATTCTTAACTGTCCACAGTAATACTTACAGAAATACTTCATTTCATTCCAATCAAATTACTCACTCAAGTTTTGAAAGGTTTTATCTTTTCTTGTATGTTTGATCAAGATTTCTGTCCTATAGTATCCATGGAAAGAGTTTACAGCCCCTTTTTCACAGACACAGCAAAACCAAGATAGCCACATCTGATAGACATGTGACGTTACTGCATGGTGTATGGCAGTGCACCTTGTTAAACCAACATGAAAAAAACTTGACTGAACTCTTTACATGAACAAAACCGCTTCTCCTCATGAAATCTTTATGTAAGAAGGCTTATCTCTGGTTCTGAATGGTGGACTGTGGTGAACACATTCAATAGTGATTAGTGTGTCTGCATTTTCATGATTGCACAATGTAGAGTGATCTTAATCAGATTTAGTTACAGTATGTAGGGGTGTAGGGGGTAAGAGGCTCTTTTCTTCTTTGTACCTCACTAAGAAGAGCAGGCTAGTGGAAAAAGCTGAAATAAACAAGGTTTGAAAGGTCAAATGGTTGTACATGGAGGCAAATGTGTACCCAGGCTGCTTTCAATGGAGTCCATCACTGAGGATGTGCTGCTGAGGATGCTGGAATCAGAGTCAAAGCGCTGCAGATGAACCCAAACACACACAGAAAGGACAGAATGACATGTTTGTTTTTTCCTATTGGAACGCAAAACATTTAACATTCATTGGGCATGCGTATCATTTAACTTAGATCAGTGAGTGAGCAGCTGGTATTTATCACTGTGTGGGCCCTGAGTGAGATCATGTAATGTTTATCAAGGTTTTGGGTGAGACGTTACATCGAGTGCCTGTAACAGCCTCGACTATTCATTCACTATTCACCTGCACAGGACTCTGAGGACTGGACAGATCAAACATGGAGCTGCTCAGTCGCTGCTGGGCCCCATGCTTCAGGATCCACCCTGAAAGAAAGAGGTAGTCCATGTCAAGATACATTCATTAAACTCTGGGAGACTAATAATATATTATGTGAATAATTATATTATGATTTCAGGCCTGGAAAGAAACTGTCAGTCTGTACAAACTGGTGAACAGGCATTACATAATGATGAATGTTCACTCTGTGTTTACATGTAATTTGTGTGTACCCAGATACAACCTACTTATTTCATGTTATTTTCTCAGACATACAGTAAGCAATTTCATGTCACTGTAAATTGTTTAGAAAATTAATAAAAAGCAAAAATGTGAGAAAGAATCTAACATTGTGAAATATATGTGACATGCAATTGCAAGTTTCCTCATGATTGATTTTATCAACATGTTATTGTCTCTCATTAAAATGCATTATTTTATGTAGACTACATAACTAAATGTACTCTCTGTCTTCCTATTACAACTCAGCAGTGAATGTGTTTCTGCACAAAAATGCACTTCTGCTCATTTTTGTTCTGTTAGAGTCATTTCGCTGGATTTCTGGCAGCTGTGTACAATTGCTTCTGCTACCTGGGCTTTGTGTACTGGAGTTTCTGTTCTTCAGTGTGCTGTGGCGAGTTGAGCCAGGTGAGTTGTACTCAGCCATCTGACCCTGATAGCAGCTGGACTTTGGGGCGTCGGCGCAGGGACGGGAGCCCAACAGCTCTGCCTTCCTCTCGGCATACGTGCACCGGGCTGAACCTGCAGACAAAAAGCAGCATGCTTCCATTTTGACTAAATGATTCTTGTTAATCAGTGAACTAAAAGACCGAAACTGTTCATTTAGAAACAGGATATCCTGGTTTTTGTCTGCTGTGCAAGTAGAGTTACACATCAGTAACCTCTGACCTGATTTTACACTTAGCTGCATGAATGCCTCATGCATGGCAGCTGATACTATGGAACTTCAGTGCTGCCTTGAGCTTAGGCTGATTTGGGTGGAGTAAAGTGTGCCAGTCACCATAATGTAACCCAAACCTGTACTGAAGCACAATTATATCTTATTAACTGTCTTTGTGCTTCAGGCTGCAACATGAAGTGTTGATTGGCCAAATGGACAGTAAATACATGTCATATTTCAAGATCTGAAAAGCCAAAATTCATTTACAGTATATTGAACAGGGAATTTTCTACACACACCCAGCTAGCGAATGCCCTGATGGCGCCAGGCTGCATGAGAATTTCTTCTCATCAAACTAACACAAGCCTGGAGAAGCTCCAGCTGAAAAATCTTCTAGAAAATAGTGACGGTGATTTTAAAAAAAATGATGCAACAAAGAACCAGAGAAAACAAACTAATCAGACTCAGTGACTTTCGAAAGCAGGCACTTTACCCCATTGTAATTAAATATCAAATGTGCATTCTGGCACTGGAGGAGCAAATGTAAGCCAGCTCACAGCCATACACGGCTGCCATGATGGTCTCTGATTTGAGCATGGTCTTGGGCTGATCTGAGGTGAAAATTAGCTCGGTTTAGCAGCAGTCATCAAGGCCATCAACAATCAGCGTATGCCTCTTTTGATTAGTCACAAGTAATATAGCATGAGCACTTAAGTTACTAATGGACCAAGCTATTTTGGTTACTCATCCAGCCAGGCAATCAAATGACTACAAATGACCGAATGTTCTATTTTGGTTTTTCTTTTTTGTTTCTCTGAGTCACTGATGTTATTTTTCAGGAGGTACATACTTTGCAGCCCAGACTGTAAATTGGGGAAGCGGGAGCCTCTCGGTTGGATATAGGAGGCCTTGAAAGTCGGCAGGACAAACGGCACCTCTCTGCCATCCGGGGGAAGCTTGGACAGGAGGTAGTCTTCTGTGACCCCCCTTCTATTTTCATCTGACTCCCATCTTGATGCCGTTGCCTTGTTAGGAGGCATCTTCAGTGTGATCACTGGAAAGCAGAGGAAAGTACATAATCATAAACAAAACACTGTCAAAATTGTTTGAAATGTAGCTGTGAAGAATGTCAACTTACCTTGGGTCTCCTGCTCCTTGCACTTTTTCTTCATGAAGTTTTTGCAGCAGTTTTTGAGGCACTCCATAGCTGCAACTGGAAATATCCATAGTAAGTGGAGGTTATAGGTTCCAAAGTAAACAGCTATACTACCATGGGTGGAACAAGCATTTTGGGGTTCTTAATCAGGAGGTGATAACACTCCAAATCTCCAAATTTGCTATAGGATCCCCCAAAATATATATGTTCTAACCCCAAACTTTGTTATTGTGTACAAAGGTTTTCCATAGTGCCTCCAAAACAAGTCAATAAACATAATTCCCCATTTTGCTGCGGTGCTTCCCACTGCCAAAACCGTGTATGATGCTACAAAAATGTGCTGACGTCATTAAAACAGTCAAAAATTTGGTATTGAGTCTAAAAAAAAAAAAAATGTATAACCGGATACAACCTTCAAATTCTCTATTGTGTCCTGAAAATTGTTATAATCCCATAAGAAATTGGTAATAATCATATAATCACTGCCCCTTAAAACGATATAGTGTTAAAATACTTTGTTCTTACATATTTTATTATTATTATAAAAGTTATGGTGCCCCCCACTCTCCAAAATTGTTACTGCTCCCCAAAGTTTTCATTTAGCCTACCATCCCAACCTTTGGTGCATCATATTACCCCCCAAATGCGTCAAAATGTGCCCCGGTTCTCTTAATTCGATACAATGTCAGCAAATGTTTGCTGTCATGGAACCAAAACCTTGGTATCCCACCCCAGCTTTGGTTGATATAACGGTTCAAAAAGATGCTGATATAATCCCGTATTCTGTAAAACTTGGAACAAAGCCCCAAATTTCGAAAAACACCCCCAAAATTGCAGTAGAACCTCCCAGAACCAGAACAACTTACTAGGCAACAAACACATTTGCTCCGCTTGGTTCTGCAGGCGCATAAAAGAATTTGCTTCGTTTTAACTTTGCTACCTAAAACTGCAAAGCACCAACAATGCAAACTTACACGTGTGATGTGTTCACTGAAAGCGGTCTCTCTACACTCGGCGGTGCGGTTCACGCTGACAGGACGACTGGAAGGTAACGCCACAGAGCTCAGGTTTACGGTGCGCTTCAGCCACGGGTCCCTCTCTCTCCTCTCTCCCCCTCAGCCACAGGTCCCTCTCTCTCTCTTTCCTCTCTCCTCTCTCCCCCTCAGCCACAGGTCCCTCTCTCTCTCTCTCCTCCCT